TGTACCTGTGGCTGCTCCTAAACTCACTCTTTCTAAGACTGCTAATTATGACATGGACAACTTAAGTACAGCAGAGTTGCTAGAACCAGCCCACCATAAGTCTCTGTTTACTGAAACTGTGTTTGGCTCCACTAACTTGGTTCACCCAGTGACTGTTACTGTTCCTGTGCTTCGCTCTCCGCCTCCAGTTCCTGTAACCAGGGCAGCGCGGGCTCGGCTTTCCCTTGCTCCCGTATCAGTTCCTCGGGAGAGGGTGGCTGAGGTCCAGCTGGTCCCTGCTTCTGTCCCCAGCCTGGCAGAGGCGCCGTTCATCCCGGCACCCGTACCTGCCCCTCGGGTGGGGTTGATGGACGCCCAGCCTATGCCTGCGCCAGTTCCAGTTCCCTGGGTGAGGTCTACTGTGACCCTGCCGACTCCTGCACCTGTCTCAGTCCCTCGGGTGGGAGCAGCAGAGGTCCAGCTAGCTCCTGCACCTACACCGGCCCCCAGGGTAAAGGCAGCCAGAGCCCAGCTCGTCCCTGCACCCGTATCTGTTTCTCGGGTGGGGATGACTGGTGTTCGGCCAGGCCCAGCACCCGTTCCTGTTCCTCGGAGGAGAGCAGCCAAGAGTCAGTCACCTGTTCAGTCACCGGTTCAACTACCTGCTGTCCCACCATCACTACAACCACAACTACAACTTCAATCGATAGCACAGTCATCAGCTCAGTTCATTGCTCAGCAACCCGTTCAGACACTGCCCACCTCAGCTGGAAGCTTTGGTGAGCTTTCTCCGCCAGCTGGGGACTGCGTGGTGCTGACACACTTTGGACAGACTGTTTGCCCTGCACAGCCCCAGCCGTTGCATCCTAAGCCGACTGCGTGCCCTGTGCCGCTACAGTTAGCGTCCGCTGAGCCAGAGGTCCCCGCACCTGCTGGCTCTGCATCCGTTTCCGCTGGGGGTTCAGGAGAACCTCTCCAGCCGCTCCTCGTTTCCGCTGGGGGTTCAGGAGAACCTCTCCAGCCTTTCCTCGTCTCCGCTGGCGGCTCTGGTCAGCCCGGCCAGCACCTCCTCGTCTCCGCTGGAGGGTCCGAGTGGCCCGTTCAGCCGCCTGTCTCCGCTGGAGGGTCCGAGGGGCCCGTTCAGCCGCCTGTCTCCGCTGGAGGGTCCGAGAGGCCCGTTCAGCCACCAGCTGCTCCACCAGCAGCCTCCGGACCCGGTCTGCTGCCACTGCCACTTTACACGTGGCGGGCCCCCGGAACAGCCGAACTGAACTGTTGCACTGTCACCTCCCGGGTTGACCTTCTGACCTCTTTGGACATTTGCTTCCCTGTTTTGCCCTGTTTTGTGTATTTGTTGACTCAGTTTTGTTCTCGTGCTCCTTGTCTTTTGTTTGGTTTCGTTCCCTCCGTCCTGGTCCCCTGCCTCCCGCCCTGGGTGGGTTGTTCCTTTTTTTTCTTGTCTTTCGGTTCTCGGGTTTGGGCTGTCGGGAGCCAGCCCTTGAGGGGGGGTCGATGTCATGGTCCTGGGCCATGTTGGCCCAGTATTCTTAGTTTTCATGTATTTTTGTATTTTGTTCCTTATTTAGGCCATGTTTCCTGAGTTGCCCTGGTGTGTTGTTCCCTAAGTGTTTTCCCTTCGTGACTCTTACCCCCTGTGTGCCCCTCTGTGTAGTCATGAGCCCTCGTCTCTCTTTGTGTTTAGTCTATGTTTTCCCCAGCCCGTTATGTCTGTGTTTTCCCCGTGCTCTCTCTCCTCCTGTCTGAACCTCTGTACTTCCTGTTTTACTTTGCCCATCTCCCGCCAGTGTGGTGTTCACTCCTGCTGTGTCTTGTTATGATTATCAGTGTCACCCGTGTTCCCCGTGTGCTCCCACTTCCCTCGTTAACCCTCTGTGTATTTATGTCTGCGTCTCCCTCAGTTCTGTGTCGCGTTCTCCCTCATGCTGTGTGTGATTCCCCTGTGTTCCTTGGTGAGCTTTATGTTAGTTTTTCCCAGTTTAGTTTTGTATTTCCTGTCATCTTTTGTCAGCAATAAAGCTGCTTTTTGAGTTCATCCCCTGAGTCTGTGAGTTTTGCGATTGGGTCCTCCTCCTGCCTGCCGCACAGCGATCCATGACAATGCCATTCTCTTCTATACTTTGACTTTCCATTCTACAATATGACTTGTATGACATTCCATTTCATACATTAACATTCCATTCTACAGCATTCCATTTATACTATGACACTCCATTTTATACTATGGCATTCCATTATTTAGAATGACATTCCATTGCCTATTATACACTTCTATTCTAAAATATGACATTCCACCTTTTCCATTTTGTGTGTACTGAAAAGAAAAATACCAAACAAGGCAAGGTGAATAGTTTTTAAAATGAAATATAAAGATAAAATCAAAAGTATGCAAAACTGGCAATCATGCCACGCACCCCAGAGGGTTGAACTGCAGGAATGTCTTAAAGATGTAAAGACCCGAATTACCTGTAATTTTCTGCGTCTAAATAAATCTTTATTTCTTACTATGCCATACCATTCCATTCGACACTATGGTATTCCATTTAATATGTGTGGGTGTGTCCTGCCATCTCTATTGCCTTAGGTGCCATGCTTTTTGTACAGCTGACTCTACTCAGCTATTAATTAATACCTCTTTGTTTCGAGTTGTAACGCCTGAGAACATGTGAGGGAACTGTGGAGAAGTGAGTGTGTGTACAGATGTTTTGGACATATGAGTCTCCTGTTACTGCCTGTAAGTCATTTAACTTAGTAATTTAAATGTGGAAACAACTCCCCATACATTCCATGTGACAAACCTCAGTGTGCTCATGTTTACTAAAGGTGTATGTGTATGTGTATCTGTCTATCTTTTACGGTTGTGTATGTGACTGTGCTTTATATTGGTGTGTGTGTGTGTATTTGGTATGGCTGTGTATGTGACTGTTCTGTATGTTTATGTGGTAAATTGCAACACTGAACGCAGAGCATACACGATGCTGTGTGAAGAAGGAGATGAGATAAGATGTGAAAGGTGAAAATGGGATTACCATTCCATTTTATACTAATGCATTCTATTTGATACTGTACCAGTTCATACTATCCTATGACATTCCATTCTACATTATATCATTCCATATTATGGCATTCCATTTTATAGTATGACATTCCACACTATGTTATACCATTCCATTCTACTATGACATTTCATACTTTATAATTACATTTCAGTTTATACTATACAATTCCATTGTAAACTGTTACATTCCATTTGATACAATACAATTCAATTTTATATATGTATATAGGTATTGACACCCACAGTGCCCTAGGCAGTTTTTCTGCAAAGTTTAAAATAGCTTAAAAAAGGTATTGGGAAACTCATTGAGAAAAAGATTGCAAACATATAAATATACATACAAATTATACAATCACCATAGTTTTGATGTTCACAGCCCGATACAAAAATGACTCAATGAATGATTATTATAATTATAAAAAAAAAAGAAGAAATTATTGTTTATTTTCCTATCAACATAATTTCACTTCATGTCATCCTCTGTTTGACCATAGCCTTTGTTTAAGCCATTGTTACTTTGTAAATCAAAGTTACATAGTTTAAGACTAATATGTTACCAGCAAAACATTGAGAGTTTTATTGACAATTAAATATAAGGGAACATTTAAGTTGTGACAAACATACTCTGCTGTACTTTTCATACATCCATATTTCATTTCACACTATAGACACTGCAGAGCGAGACCAAGGAAGCATTTCGCTTCAGTTTGAACTATTCAGTTCTGTCCTTAAACCATCATACCACTGACAAATGTAACTGATATTGTGGCGGACCACTAGAGGGCTCCACTCACACCCAGTGTATAGGAAGTGTCTTCCTGTGTTTTGTAGCGCGATATGCGCAGTTGATGTTGGAGACGAATAAAGAAGGAGTGAGAACTGAGAGCTCTGTGTCGTTAATGCTTACCTCCACAATATCAATAAATGTAATAGGTGTATCATTGCTGGGCAGGAAAAAAAATACAGAGCGACAACCACCACAGTTTAATCAGACAGCACTAGGACTCAGTGCCTATTTGTACTGCTATTCTGTTGTCATCATCAGTGACATTCACACATATAAAAGAGTCATAATTTGATTAGCTGTCCTGATTAAATAACAAATATTTATCCTAAAAATTACACTAGGTTATCAAAACTTTGACCAGAACTTTGAAATACTTGTTAGCATTTCTTAATATTTCCTAAACTTCTTCAGCATAGGTTTTATTCTGCTGTTATAACACTTGACCCCACAGCAGCCTGTCATTATCACATGGCAATGAGGTAGAAAGAGTGTGCATGTGCATGAGAGAGAGAGAGAGAGACCCAGGGTTACTATTATGAATATCAACCCTACAGTCTAATATTTCTTTCAGAGGAGGAACTGTGTTTGTTTTTTCTGCCACTTGATGGTGCTCTAATGCTGCTAAACAGGGATGTCAATCACAGCCTAGGGGGCTATAACCAACTTTTCAATGTATCTAATTCTGCCCATTGGGTTGTTTTGAAAATTGTAACTTCTGAAAAAACAGGGCGTACATTGAAGACTTTTAACTGTATTTTAATCAATTTTACACTCATTTCAATGACAAAGATATCAACCATGTCCAATCATATTACTATAAAGTAAGTCACTAAAAATAACCTATTGCATGACAGAAAAGATGTTTCTCATTGTTTGCATTACATTAAGTAATAGAATTCTTAAAAGTAACAGTTTTTAAACTGTTTTCTGCTTATTTGCAGCATTTCAACAGATTTTTTCCCCCCTGCCAGTACTTTCTCTGTAATTTTATGACTTTATTTCTTAAACTCTAAGTCCAAAGAGCTGTACCAATGGGTTTCTTTGATGTTCTACACCCTTATTTGTTCATGTTGTTGAAAAACCGAGGCATACTATTGAAACCACACATCATCATCCCTTCTATCTGTGTTCCTCATCTTGCCTTTTCAGATCCTTCCAATTAAAGACTTCCTTCTCCTGGAGATCCTCATGCAACCTCTCTTCATACCGTGTGGAGTGATGACTTGTGTGTCAGTCCCAGCCCCCATACCCTATAAAACTACAGAATGTGGATCGGAGAATGGTGTGTCTTTGAGTGATGCTTGGTCAGAGGCTGAGCAGGAGAAGCAGAAACTAAATTCTGCAGAACTGCCAGCACTGGTGCACCTGTCCTAGACCGACACTCCCACTTTTTGAGAGACAGAACTTGTACTTGTCCCAATCCAGACCTTTAAGTCAGAGGGAAAATGGGCAACATGGCTACAGAAATCACTGCGTTTTTCCTAACCATCTCTGGATGGATCTTGGTGTCATCTACTCTGCCGACAGACTACTGGAAGGTATCTTCTGTGGATGGTACGGTCATTACCACAGCTACCTTCTGGTCCAACTTGTGGAAAACATGTGTGACAGATTCCACTGGTGTGTCAAACTGCAAGGACTTTCCTTCAATGCTGGCTTTGGATGGTGAGTTCATAATATAATGTTGTGTTGCAGTCACAAGGGACGACATTTCTTACATCAGTAAACAGACACAGTTAAATAAATAACCACAAATCTGTGAGCACACATCTGACAGATGTACTTCTTAGATAAATGACCTCATTTGTGAAAAAAGAATGTATTTGAAACTTGATATTTCATTTTCTACCTCAGCCTTGAGGCCACAAATGGCCACTACATTTAAAGCTACTAGCTACTACTTATTAAGCCCTCCTTATATGTCCAATCAAAACAATCTGAGAAAGCCATACAGTCACAGAGAGGTCACTTGATACTTGATATTAGTTTTTCAAAGTTAAGAAAGCAATACTTCTGGCCATCTTAGTGTCCTTTAGACTGCTGTTTTCATTCCTAGGGGTTGGAGAGATCTTTTACCATCTATACATTTAAAAAGCCCAAAGTAACTAAAACACTTTACAACTTAAATTCTACAATTCTTAAATTTCTACAAGAACAAGATGTTAACACAACACTAAATGATAACATTTCAAGTGCAGTCAACTTGTAAGTGAGAAGTCGATATTTACACATCAATCAAACATCATGATTGCATTTTTCTCTACCTCATGAAACATTAAGCTAGCAATAATTAGTTTTACTTACATTTTATTTTTGATCATCTTTTAGTTTTTGCCACAATCTGAGACACTTTTCACATACGAGTCATTTGCAACACTCATGCAACATTTATGCCCATTATTAGCATTATTATTTCTGCATGTGCTCCAACCTTGATACAAGTCTTAAGTATAGACGTAACCTTTAAACTAACTCCCTCACAGTCCACTCTGCAAAAAGTAAGCAAATGAACCAAGCTGGAAAGCATTTCAAAAGACCTTCCTTTTTATCTATTAAAATCAGGACAAACTGTCTTCAAATAGAGGACATTCAAGACTCTTATTAATAGTGGACAACTTGCAAACCATGTGTAACCCTGGAAGAGATCTTTTTTAAAAAGGCAAAACAGATGTAATTAAGATTTTTTTTACATTGTATAAGATGACAAAAGAAAAGATTACACAGGCATTCATAATTTTGGTTCTCGCATTGCAAAGTTATGACATCACATTAATGTGATTGGTCAGTCACTTTATTATGAAAATCAGTGCAGAAATCCAATTTATTCCAAGTGATTTATTTGCAACTTTATCTCAAATTTCCCTCACACAAGAATACATCAAACTGTTCAATATGAACAAAACAATTCTTTTTTTTTTCACATTTGTAAGTCTGTTTATTGTTACGATTCATGGGCAACAAAAAAGTAGGGAACCAACTAATGTATAGCTCTCTTCTCTGTTTCATTTTTTAAGCGTACATCCAGGTGTGTCGGGGTTTGATGATCGCTGCTGTGAGTCTGGGTTTCTTTGGTGCCATTCTTGCCTTGGTAGGAATGAAGTGCACAAAAATAGGAGGCTCAAAGACCACTAAAGCTCGGTTGACTGTCCTGTCAGGCTTCCACTTTATTCTTAGTGGTAAAAACCATCCCATTCTATGTATGTCTGGATTTAATGGAGAATAATGTGTGGATTGAATTCTTCTTGAGCTAAGAACATTACCTTAGTTCCTTTTAATTTGATGTAGTAATCTGCTTATTTCTTTCCACAGGCCTCTGCTGCATGACGGCATGCTCCATATATGCTCGCAGGATCACAGCTGACTTCTTTGACCCCCTATTTGTTGCCCAGAAGTAAAAGGATTCCTTTCACGTGGATCAAAGACATAATCAGATGAAAGGAAGTCCAGTCAGAAATATCTTGGTTTTTTCATTTTCTTTTCTTTTTTCCCTGCAGGTTTGAGCTGGGAGCCGCTCTCTTCATTGGCTGGGCTGGATCTGTGTTGTGCATCTTAGGAGGACTTATCTTCTGCCTCAGCCTGTCTGAAGGCTTCAGTATCAGGCAAGTGGCTTGGTTTTGTAGATATACAGAATGCGAACAATGTGATTCCACATGAACAGCAAGGTCATAGTGGATCTGATGTGGATGCACTCTAAACTGCATGATTGATTTACTAACTCAATTGGGCAATTTAAGTAATTACTTTAACTGCAATAGACAGGCAAATCCAGTCAAAAACATCCAGTAATCTCTCAGCAACTTGCCGCATAATTGCTGAACCTACAAAGTAAATTGTATGATTGTACGTTATGTTGATTAGCTACTCCAGCTGAATGTTTCCTTTGTTACAGTTGCATAAGAAGGACCTTTTAGAAGTTAAAGTCACCTTGACTGAGGGGAGCTATTGAGAAGTGTTGCATGAGATGGGCAAAGAAAAACAGACTTTTTTTCTTTCGTTCCTTTTTCTTTTAAACATCCTAGTTCTTTTTCCCCACTTTTTGATAACAATCAGGCTGATTAGAGTGTTCTCACTGTATGAATACCGTGAATAGCAGCAATGGCACCTAGTATTGATTGGCAGTCAGTTTGTAATCATAGTGATTATAAACCAAAAAAATGTGCTACTGGTACCACGTGAAAGTTTGTCTGTGCATGTTTTAATCAGACAACCTAGAGGCTTCTAAGAATGGCAAGCTTGGTTTCAAAGATCGGTTTAAAATTTTCCAAATTTCCATTAAATTCATGGTTCCCAGTGGAGGAATCCTAATGACTTCTCTGATCAACCAATTTTTAAAATAATTTATTCCATAATGGAGCTGAATTTGTAGCTTTGAGAAAAAATATCTTAACCAGTTTGATGAAATCCTATAGATGAAGTCCCTTTGGTTATCTTTGAACTCTTTTGAAATGCATGAAAAACTCAATATGGTTGTAGAACTTCTTAAATATAACAAGAAAGTTGAAAGGTGTAAGAAAAAAAATGTTTTGCTTGAAACAGAGCTTTGTAGCCTTTACTATGTAAATTGCCTGTTTTGACTTTTGCAGAGCTGAATACTCCTACAGTGGAGCTGCATCTTTTCCGACAACATGCAACAAGACCAGTAAGCCAGCCCAGAGGCCAAACAAGGAAACACAGGAGCCATTGAGGCAGTTTGGAAGAAATGCATATGTGTGAAACTGGACTCTTGTTACACGAGTTGATTTGAGAATTTAACAACATTTCATCATTTAAAACCAAGGACAGCATCCTCCAAAATGAACTAATCTGCATCTGTGGGAAGATAAAAAGTGAGCTAATCTGGGATATAGTTTACAAATTTGATTTAGTGTTCAGATTTAAATATGGCTGCCTCATTTCTGTCATAAACTCGATTATGAAACATAAGCATTGAGAGTAGGACATTTAATTTGACATAACATGACATTCAAAGTCTTTAATCACCTTTAACAAACTGGCTTTTTCACCATCTTATGGATTGTTAAAACATGTCAAAAATTGATAGTGAAACCTTTTGTTTTCTTACATTTTCTTAAATGTTTTATAACTAACCATTGGCATACTATGACTGATCCATAAATTAAGTAAATGAATTAACTGCTCCAGCTCACAACGATACAAATGTCTTCTTGTTAAAAATGAGCATTTTGGTACTTTTTCCTAAAAGCCTGCATAACTTATAGTAGTTTTATCTTTGTATAATTTACCATCCCTACAACCAAATAATACGTGGAAGAAGTGCCTTTCTAATTTTCCTAGTCTAGACTAGTTTGACCTCCAAGGCTAACTAGGTCACATCTGACCCCGGAGATGCTTATGTAGATGTGGACGCCCAACCGGAGGTTTCCCGTCTTATCAGCCATCCATCTCCACCTAGGAATATAGGAACCCTGGGCTATGTTACGCAAAACCTCTTGGCCCAGAGGGTAGATACTTGAACCAGCTGACAGAGCGTAGATGTCATGTGCTTTCCACTGCTTTGCATCTGCAAAAAAATAGTCAGGTGTCCAGGGCTCAGCAGAAGGGTGGCTTTGTGTGGTTGTATGTCTCCTGTGTTAAAATGATAAATACATTTTAGCTGGAACTCTCTTGAAATTCTTAAAAAAAAAAAGTTGACAAATATCAACAGCTTGCAATAGCTTTTGTCTAAACTAAAATCATTACAACTACACATTTCAAAAGAAACTGTTGTATCCTGAATGTCTGTGACTGAGAATCATTCAGTCATCTAAGTTATGGTAGTCTTCAGAACTTGAAAAGAAGTAACTGAATAGCTCATTTAAAAATACATTTCTTCCAATGATAAACTTAATGAATTCTAACATCAACTTTCTTTCAAACATTTCTAGACTAATCTTCTAATGTTGCTCCTTTTTCATCCTTCATATAAATTAAATACATATTTAATTTTACATATTTAAACCAACACAAAACCAAAAAGAGTTTGTGAGCATGCCAGTAGCTTTTTGACACTAAGCTGAGGAACAGTGCTACCTTTCAAAGGTTTAGACTTTTCACCCACTTTATTAGGTACACAATATGCTTGTTAAGTCAACCAATCATATGGGAGCAACCTAATGCTCAAACATCAGAATGGGGGAAAATTGTGTTTTAGGTGGCTTTGAACATGGCATTGTTGTTTGCTGTTGGTGCTAGACATGCCAGTCTGAGTATTTCAAGAATTTCTCGTGTACTGGGATTTACCACAAAACCATTTCTAGGATTTACAGCGAATGGTCTGAAAAAGAGAAAAGATACAGTGAGGAGCAGTTCTCTGGGAAAAAAATGCCTTGTTAATGCCAGATATCAGAAAAAAACTGATAGGAAGGAATCTAGTATTTGGAAGGTCAGCACATGCATATAGGTTTATATTGGGAGGTTCTACTTGAATTGTTGGTTTTGCACCATTTCAATAAACAGCAGCAAACAGTATAGGGTAGCTGTGATCTCAGTGTTAATGTTAATGTCTGCTTTAGTATACTAGCATTTGTCAGAAGCATCTAAAACACACAATGTGGGTTATAAACCAGTGGACTGGCAGAATTAATACAGTTTGGTATGTTTTTCTTTTTTTAAGTTATTTTTTTTATTTTTTCTGTACAGTCTAAATATCCTGCAGGTTTTAAGAAACAAAGTAACATATATTTCTGTATATGTCTGAAAGCCCATATAAAGAAAAGAGGACATTTGGGAGAGTTTGGCTAGTGAATTGTAAAAGTTGCAGGCTCAGGCGTTAGGCCTATTAAGTACTTACAAGGGGAGGGGCCTCTTTAGGGTTGATGGCTGGGAATCTAATTTAAAGCTAATTTAAACCATCTTTCATAAAGATATTAAGGCTGCCCAGCCTCCAAAATATCAGTATATTTCTCTACCACACTAACAATAACTTTAATATAAGCTGGGTGAACTTTGGAACAAAAAAAGAGCTCTTTCATCTGAACTAAAAGAACATTCATCACTCCCCGGAACTCTCATTACCTCAGATTTAAGTCTAATTAGAGCAGCACAAAGACGCTATGCTGTAATTATGCAGCCCGCCACACAGTGAGGTCCTGGCAAAATTACTAATAACTAGCAGCTTAAATGCCGGAGGCAAAATTGAGAAGAATGCTTCAAGCAGCTTTATTACATATTTCAAGAAGACTTGTAAAGGTCACTCTTTTAGTTGAAATATCAAGCAATGTGATCTCATACGTTGCTTGTTATAATTTTTATACATAAAGTCTGATTTTATTATTTCAAAAATCAGCGGGCCAGAATAGCATCAGTTTAAGGGACAGTTTATCAATCTTTTGACTTATTGGTAGGGACTACCTGAGATAGACTGGAGATCTGCCTCTCTCCCTATAACAGCTGGCACAGGCTCCAGCAGCCAACCAACCCAGAATTAGGTAAGTGGAAGAAAACAGACGGATGGAAGTGTTGTGGTTGTGGCTTGTGTGAGTCAGTGTGTTTTTGAGGTTGATTCTAAGTGATTCTTGGTTTTTTTTTAGTGTTTATATTGTTGTTATATATTTTTCTCCTTTTATATATTCAGTCCCTAGTTTCTTTAGCGTTTCGTTCCTGTTACATCAACTCTCCTTTATTAATATCATTTATGTGGGACCCCATATGGAAAAGAAATAGAAAAAACTTATAAAAGACTTGCATCAGATGTGGCCTACTTCATATAGTGAATCATATAAGGCTTATATGATTTACTCATGAAAGTGGCCACTTTCATATATTGTTTTAGTAAGTATCCAAAACATACAAGTTTCATTTATATAATTTTTCTAAGGGATCTTATATCTGTTTTCACTCTTGTATGCTTTTCATACAAGTTTCACACAAGACAGATACAAACTTTATAAGATTTATATATATCTTATATATATATACATATATATATTAATATATAGATATTATATAATATATATATATATATATATATATATATATATCTTTTCCATATGCAACAGGCCATGTGTCTGTGGTTTCCCCACATATATGAGGAAGAATTTCATGAATCTGAATTTAAGGCAAATTGGCAAAAATAACTCCCTGTCTGTTGCATAAATTCAATTCAGTTTCATTTCAATGTTATTTATACAGTAGCTTAACAGTTGTCTCAAGGCACGTCATTCCATAAACTGTCATGTCCTTTATAGAAATGAGGCGGAATCCAATCACAATGAGAAATGTTTTTCTGATGTGCTTTGTAAAAGCACATCAATATTGTACATTTACATTACCCCTACACATCCACAACTTGGTTAAGAAGCACATCATCATTCTAGAGTTCTCATTATGAGGTAATTGCATGAAGTTAAGAATTGGAAAGTAAAATCTGGAAAATTAAGAGGTCCGGAGCTCAGCTTGTGCTGTAACTCATAGCATCTCAGTCTAACACACTATAGTTGGAAAGCGGAATAATATGTACCGAAAATCGAAATGGTAACTGGTTAAGCACTTATAATAAAATATAGATGCCAGACAACGGTATGTACTAAATGCACAGAGAGTAAAGGCACACTGTCTCATTATGGCTGGCAATGGAGAAATATTAAAACATGACATGTCAAAAAAGAAAGAAAAAAATTCTGCTAGACACAAATCCATTTGTACTTGGTTTATAGCCAGAGTCAAACAAAACTGGGAACCTTTGTTACCATTTTGTGAATCAAAATGGGGATCAGTTTAAAATAGTTGTTTGCTAACATTTAATTTTGCAGCATTTCTGCCTCTATCACATAGCACAGTATAGAGTGTGGAAAGAGTGAGGGTGGATGAGTGTAGCTTTTGGTATATTGGTCACCGACTACGGTACCGAATTATGACATATCCGGTTGTTCAGTGATGACACGAAGAATCCTACTTCCGGGCCTAAAGTAGTCTGCGTTTAATATGGCTTTTGTGTTGTTAACATGTTTAATGTTATGTATTTTCTTCTATTTGATCTCAAAAAGCTCCTAAAACAGTCAGTGATCATTGTTGACCTCCCTCAGCTTTTATTACTGCTAATCATTTATTTAAGCTCAGTTTTTAAAACCTTAGGATGTAACTACAGCCCAGCCCATGCAGCAGTATATGAATGACTAACCTCGTATTGTGGATGGATTATCTCAGTTGTTCTCCTGGCTGAAGTTTGGTCCTTTTACAGCATCCTGCCATGCGATTACATTTGTTCCTGACCACTGAGAACACTCACGGTAACTTTTATCGAGTGGAAAAAAAAGTAAGCTTGTTTATATTATGCTAACATAGCTGTGTCGCTAGTGGTCACGTAGCACATCATTATATACCAGCTAGCTCAACTTCAGTAACCCTACAAACGTCACTGCTGTTTAGTTTTCTGTCTTCATTTATGCTGGAAGTGATAACAGAGATGTACGTTTTAATTTGTTTTCAAAACCCCGCAGTCAGGACATGCTATATTGTATTTAGATAGAAGCTAGCGAGCTAACTCCCTGCTAACTTCTAACTCCGTTAAATGTCATAAATTCCGTTCTCATGGATGCCTGGATGTTAAACTCAATTGTTACACCTGGTAGAGCAGAACGCTGATCATTTTATTAAAGATGAAAGACTTTAGACAGTTTTTCAACTCTCAGTAATGCCATAGTGATCGTTTGATATATGGACCTGCAGCGGAGTTTAGGTCCAGACACGGCTAGTGACGTCAGACTGAACAATTAGATTACTGAAAAAAAATCAAGCTAGACCTTTACATCCTTAGTCTGGCAACCCTTCCTTAAATTGTACCTTTTGACCCCAGCAGTTGTGGAAGATGCAGAAGTAAAGAAATATTCTAAAATCTCTCTTTTAATTAGGTAACCTTTCCTATTCATTATTTTAAGGTTTTGTGATGTTTTTAAATTCTATGCTTTTTAGCTATATTATGGAAGGAACTTAAAAAGCCTGATATAAAAACAAATCTCAGTATTAATTATGAATTAGAAAAGAAAACGCCTCATGCTATAAATAGATCCTTCTTCTTTTAAGCTGTCTGAAAACAGTGGATATGATGTCTCCGGTAATTTGAGATACATGCTAAGGTAAGCAATCTCAGGCCCATGAGGACCTGCATTACTGCTTTATCCCACACAGACATGCAAAAAGAAATATCTGGAAAACAACACCACACATCCCCTTTTTTAAACATGATATTCACTTCTCTCTGAGAAGAGCATTTGTTTGAGTTTGGAGACCGAGGACTGCTTGAATCACCAACTACCATCTTAAAAATTAAAAAAGAAACTCAACAAACTGGTGGTTTGCAGTTTGGTGAAAAAGGATTCAAGCTTAAATAAACAAAAGCTTCTGGGTCAGAAATCTAGAAAGGAAACAACAACAATCCATACAATGAAAATTCGAGTGGTTCAGATCTGGGGGTTCCTAATGACGGTACTGGGTTGGATCTTTGTGGCCTGCACTATGGCAATGGAGGGCTGGAAGATTGCCTCCGTTGGGGGCATGGGAGGTTCGGCTGTCATCAAGGTAGCCTGGCACTGGACTAGTCTGTGGAGATCTTGTTTTACAGACTCGACTGCTGTCACCAACTGTAAGGATTTTCCTGTACTCTGGTCTGTGGAAGGTATGTCAACATATTCAGTATTCAAGGTGTATTTATTCTCATTTGCAAATCAAGAATGTTTATATAAACCTTTGTCTGTCCTTTATTGTCACTCTAGACTATGTCCAAATAGTGAGAGCCCTGTTGATGTCGGCTCTTTCTGTAGGCATGCTGGGGTTTGTACTTAGTCTGCTGGGTATGGAGTGCACCTACATTGGAGGAAAAGTACAATCAAAATACAAGAAGATCTATATTGGTGGATGTTGCCACATCATCAGTGGTAAATGTCTAACTTTAATTACTATAAAATCATTGGGTGTGAATACCATATTATCACTCTTTTAGAAGGGATGGCTTCTAAAAGTACACAAAGGGATGGCTTTGTGTACTTAAGTTCTATTCATTGTCTGCTCATGGATTTTGCTGGTTAATTTGTGTCAAGGCTGGATAAAGGTAACTTACTGTTGACATTCAGCACAGTAACTTAATATCCTTTTTGAAGCGTTTACCACTGAACCATGAAATAATTGCCAGAATATTCAAGTTTTTACCTCTGCCAGGCAGTTATGATTTTGGTAGGATGCATGAGATTCCTTCTGTCTGTAAATATGATAACTTGAACAATTCTGAATGAATTCTGATGAAACGTTGTAGGGATGTAGAGTGGGGTCATCATCAAACAATCCATTAAAACATGGCCCAAATCGATCAAGGTCTTAAAGGTCAATTAATGAGTTATTGGTTGAAAACTGACAAAATGTCTTATAATTTTGCAGCTATGACTCTTAGATTACATTTCCTTTCTTTCAAGCTGACCCCAAAATGTATTTTATATCTTATGCATACAAACACATGTTGCATATGCATAGCAGCCAGCGTAACTTTTGACTCTATTTTTTTTAAACTTGATTTGCATTAAGGAGTGCTGTCCACATCTGGGTATGGTGTCTATGCACAGTATGTCTATGCAATACATATTGACCCTGGTCCCACTGGACTCCAGTAAGTAACCATGGCTACACAGAATAAATGTTACCCTACATTGAATAAAACTGAAATTTTTAAATTATGATCTCAGCATCTCTCTGGTTTGCAACCAACAGGTTTAACCTTGGCACCCCAATATTTCTTGGCTGGGTGGGTTCAGCCTTTCACATCACTGGTGGTGCCTTTTATCTATGGTCAGTGTGCACACCGCTCTGTGGAGGAGAGAAAAAGTAAGTGCTTGGACAGTATAGAAGAGAAATGTAGCTTCCAGGTAGGAAAAATGAGGCCAATGCTTTCTATCTGAAGGCCACTAAATGGTTGTAAAAATGGTGGTTGCAAAAAGAAGTTCTGTATAAGTCTATGGGAAAACGCCAAGTGTATGGGCTCAATCACTAATTTTAAGTCTTAATAATATATGTCTATTTTGCAACTTTGTCAAAATTGAGGATCATTTGTGTTATGAATCAACACACTTAATGGCAAACAACTTGTTACACAGTCAGACCTGTCTAGGGATGGGAATTGATAAGATTTTCACGATTCTGATTCCATTTTCGATTCTGTTTAACGGTTCGATTCTTTATTGATTCTCTTATCAATTTTTTAAAAAAAAGGAGAACACTAAGGTTGATTAGCTTAGAACTGTGTTTTATATCTTCTCTTGAACAAGATAGAAATTTAGGAGTAACATGGCCTTACAAACCCAACAGTGAGAACTTTAGAGATCCACAGCCTACGGCTCTTCAATGTGGTGTCACAGGGTCCCCAGGAAAAAAAATTGTAAATGTAAAATAATAAAATAAATATTCTTCTGTAGCAATAACAAAGTGTAACATAAATTATTCTGTAGTAAATACACAAGAATATCCAGTAATGTCCCCGCCTACAATTAAACACATTCACTTACCGAAAATCAGAGGGATATACTGTGGCAAATGGGTGCAAGCCTTTTACCACAAACTTAGTCACTGCTCGGTGACATTCGTCTATCCTGGCCTGAAAGCAGACGCTACCGGTAGACTGCAGCGAGAACTGCCAGCATCTGAGCCTCATGGTCACCTAAATGCAGCGCACAGTAATGGCAGGTTTTGTAATAAGGCAGATCGCACTAACATAATATGCACTGTTAGTTGATTATTTACCTGCCGCATTAACGGGAGAGGACGTGCAAACGTTACCACTGCTGCTGGGTTGAGATTCACGAGTCTGGAGCGGAATTAAAAACACGACATTCATTTAAGGTCATCGCTTGTTTTGTGAGCAAATGCTTTTGCATCTTTGTAGTGTTTCCTCCCTTAAATGAAATATCTACTTTGCAAGTATTGCAAGTTGCCCTGCTGTCATCCGTTCTTGTAAAGTATAACCAAACTTTTGAGCGTTTGAGCCGCTTAGGCGCCGTGTTTCCTACCAGGTCATGCGGGGTGACTGAAATCGATAAGGGAATCGTTTGCAAAAATGCCAAACAATTACAAGGAATTGAAACAGTGGGAACCGGTTCTCAACAAGACCCGGGTTTCGATACCCATCCCTAGACCTGCCCCTCTTTGTCAAATCTGGTATTTGGTAAGGGTAGTTCAATAAGGAGAGATCATTTGAAAGAATGAACACGACAAATGACAAATTTGGCGGTTTGTCTACAATGGCCCATCTTGGCGGAACAGAAAGGGAGAATGAGAATGAGATTTAAACTACACAGCATGAGTGCTGATTGGCTTGGAGAAAGCCAGGAGAGTGTTACTGGACTAGGCCAGTGATGACAAACACCTTGACAACATGGTAAAGTTGGAGTGATAAAGCTTCCCAGCAGAACCTGGGAGCAGACAGATGAGAGACCATAGATTGTCATTAAAGAACTTATGCAGAAGCTTATTTCAATAAAGAGAGATTATTTGAAAGAATGAACGTAATTTATTAATGAACAGAAATTAGATAGGGGTATTACATGATTAGACTACAATGGTCCGTCTTGGCAGAACAGAACCCCAGCTGTGAAAGGGGATAGAGCAGGATCCCAAAAGAAAAAAAGATCTTACTGCAGCAGAGTTCTTGCCCATGGGAAAGGAAACCTATGCATGTAAGGAGTAATGCATGGCATGGCAAGGCATAGGAAGCATAAGCACAGAGAAGAACAACAACAACAGACCACCCAAAATACCAGCATGAGTTCTGGGCCTGGCAGTGGCCCTCCAATGGCAGGCTATGTTTGCCATTTGATTGGAAGGGAAAACTGAGGGATATCAAAGGCCAGAGAGGTTGAGCTTGGGTTAAGGCCCTGGGCTGCAGATAGCTGACAGAACAGAGAACCTGCAAAGACTGAAAATGCAAGCGGTAAGAGCAGCGTTGGCACAGGGCTTCTGATAATTGACAGAATAGAAAGGCTACAAAGGCTGAAAGTTGCAGCACAGGAGAGAAGAGCCTACAATAATGCTCGGGGCCGCTGATGGCCCACAGAGAGAAAAAAAGGCTACGAAAGGCTGAGAGTTGCAAGGAACAGTGGAGAGAAGACGCTGCATTAAGGCTTGTGCTGCTGTAGGCCAGTAGAGAGCACACAGAACATAATGAGGCAAAGAGTTAGGAGTGGGAGTAAGAGTAAGACTTTTATACCACCACCAGCTCGATGCCGACTGAATTTAGACTTGGTAACTTAGAAAAGTAAGGCAGAAGATGTGCAAATGATTTGGAGATGAGTGGAAGGAAAGCTGTTTCGAATTATAAGGACTTACCTTACAACATTAAGCCTACTAGGCAACTTTGATGTGTTTGGCGCTACACGACTGAGGGTGGAAAGAAAGGCTTGTAAGGCTGATAGAGCAGCACCTACCAACCTATTTAGTGAAGATCTTTGAAATGAAACAGTAGAGAAAGAGCTATTACCAATTCTAAATGCAGGACTTTTCCAAGATGTTAATGGAAAGAGTTACTGTATAGAGGCCAAGGAGATGCTGCTAAAATGGCAGATAATACAGGGATCCACGTGACCTTATAAGAACCATGCTTGAATCATTCCTGTGGAGGACAGGAAACATCAGAAACTCAGAAGGACTACTCCCGCTAACGATTACCAATGCTGGTACCCCCAAAACCTGAAGAGTTGTGCTAAATGTTTAGAGCACTGAAAACAGAAGAATGATGAAGACAGAAAAAAGACATGCCATTTAAAATAATGAGCAGGTATGCCAAAACCTCCGAGGCAGAAGCCTAAATGACCAAAAGTAGTAGAAGTGCCATGAAGAGCCAGGATGAATAATCGAAAGTAAATGTGCATGACTTGAAAGAAGGCAAATAATAATAATAAATAATAATTAAAAACATCAACAGTTTGGCTGACCTATCAATTAATACTAATTTGTTTTTTATTACGTCTTGCTTAGTGGAACATGTAACTGTCATGTTTGACAATAATGTGCATCTCCTTCCTTAGGGTGGTTGTCAAGGGATTGCCAGACCCATTGCAAAACAAGTCCACCACATCTCTGTCCACAGTGTCGGAGATCACATCCAAGACCAAACTGTCCTCTATTTCTGAGCTATTATCAAGGTCGGAGGGCTCAGATTTATCTAGCATTGCCTCAAGATCCAGACGCACGACCAAGTCAGGGCGTTCCACCCAGTCAGAAAGGTCTGAAAGGTTTGAGCTGAAGACAGATTTAGGATCAAGATCAGGATCTGGGTCACAGTCTGGCCTCTCTTCAAGGTCTAGCCTATCAAGTCTGTCAGAAGTGAGGAGTGGCAGGAACAGCCATAGAAGCAGGGCACAAACCTCCATGTCAGGCACTTTAGGGAGTGAGATTGCACCATATGTCAAAAACTCTTATATTTGAACAAATATCAATTATTAGGTATAAAAAAACTTCAGAGCATGTGATGACCAAGCAGTCAGATGCTTCAAGATTTTAATATGTGGTATAAATTGCATTCTTATCATTGCTGGTGTATTGCATATATTTACCAAATGAAAGGGATGTGGAGAAGACCGGGTCAGATCCTGGGGCTACTGCTTAGCATACTAGGCTGGATGTTTGTGGGTTGCACACTTGCTATGGCCCACTGGAAATAAATAGAACAATTAATGTGATTTCATCTATAGCTAGAGACTTCTGATGGACAGAAAATAAAAAGTGCAGACTGTTAGTTAATAAATAGTGGATATGTGGTGGGATTAAATAAGCTGATGCTTCTTCCTTCTCCTTTTTGAACATGTAAGTTATAATTATTATTGCTTTGTTTTCCTTTTGTTTGCTTTGTCTTTTTCCCTCTTTTGTTGTTGTTATACTATTTTAACATGTTCAAAATAAAGATTCAGTACAATACAATACTTCTATCTCTGTCAATTGAGCATCGCACCTTGTGGAAAATCTTGAAAACAAAGTGTTTAGTGTTAGAATATCCAGACACTGCAACTGCTATATAGAAACCCAAGCAAAGATCACAAGCAACCAGTCCTTGCAGCATAGCCTTGACACAATGAACATAATACATTTCTTACCACATAATACAAAGCTGCTATCTTCTGTTTGTTATAAACACAGTTTATTCCTTCAAGTCACAATAGAAAGTTAAAAGGGGTCAAATGGATAGAAATAATATGACCATAATCAAGCAGGAAAAAAAAAAACAATCAGTCAGTGCCTCCCACCTGACCCCTCAAATTAATCTTCAGTACAATAACAATTAAGCTCTGGAAAATGTTAGCTTCATGTTATAAATATTTTCTGAGTTGAACAACTCAGAGTACATAACAGTTGGTAAACATTTATAAAAACAAACAAACAAACAAAAAATAGCCTATTTGAGTAATGTTAGAAGTAAATGAATCTGTAAATGAAAAAGTAAGAGTGGGTTTTATTAAGAAACTATATAAATATATGTGTGTGTGTGTGTGTGTGTGTGTGTGTGTGTGTGTGTGTGTGTGTGTGTGTGTGTGTGTGTGTGTATATATATATATATACAACATACTAAAGGTAAAATTCATTTGAGGGCTATGTAGTGGAGTGCTTTGCAGTTGCTGTTCTTGTCACTTTAGCTACTAATCCTAATTTTCCTTGTTTTTAATCAACTGAGGGCTCCAGAAAAAAAATCTTAAAGTGTTATGCATTTCTTTTTAGTTTGCTTCCAAGGAGCACGACTTTCTTGTTGGTTTTTTAAAAGTGTTTCTGAGAAACTTCTCCAGGCTTTATGAAGGTCTTTCAAAGTTTTTCTTTGGACCTTTCGCTCTTTCACTTTTTCACTCATTCTCACATCAGTTCAAGGTTCAACAAACTTATCTGTTTGTTGAACCACTTAATGTTGACCTGAGAAACATTCAAGCATAAAAAAGGCAGCAAACTCAAGAAATGAAACAGTGCTGTGTCTACACACAAGGGACAACTTTGCAAAAAGCCCATTTTAAATGGTATCTTTAGGCACTTTGTTATTAGGCAGTCTATGGCAAAAACACTTAATTTGTTTCCATGTATTTAGCTGAAAACCTGTGAAAGATAAAACTTCTGATATTTCTGTGTGTGTTGCTTTAAATGTCATAGCCTTTTGTTTAATCTAATACTTATGAGTACCCTGAGTAAACACAATATGCTGGAATGGCCCTGTAAGAAAGAAGAAAATGAGGTGACCAAAGGAGAAAGAACGAAAAGTAAGCCTGCACTCTGACCCTGTTGTGCTATTTTGGGATAATATGTCTTTAAGATATGGTGGGGCCTGACCATTCCGGACTTCGTCTCAGCACACCTTCAGGGAGTCAGGGAGCTTCTGCTGAGCAGTTTCTCCATTGGTTTGGCTGGCATAGTGATTGCATTTTTTGGATTGGAGTGCAGACACATTGGGGGAGACCAGAGAAGTATAAATGGGATCTGATAAACAGCATCTACTTTCCATGTGGTCGGCTGTGAGTATCATTTATTTGCATGTACAAAGCCTGAGCTGCAATTCAATTCAATTCAATTCAATTCAATTCAATTCAATTCAATTCAATTCAATTCAATTCAATTCAATTCAATTCATACAGCGCCAAATCACAACAACAGTCGTCTCAAGGTGCTTCATATTGTAAAGTAGACCCATAGGATGACCCCCAAATGAGAAAGCACTTTGGCAACAGTGGGAAGGAAAAACTCCCTTTTAACAAGAAGAAAGCTCCAGCAGAACCAGGCTCAGGGAGGGGCGGGGCCATCTGCCGTGACCGTTTGGGGTGAGAGAAGGAAGACAGGATAAAAGACGTAATTTCAGAAGCTTCTCGGAACACCCACTTACTGGTTTGTTGTGTGTGTGTTTTCCCCGTGTGTCATCAACTCTCCCTCATGCAGGTGTGTCAGGCATGGCTGCTTACTGTTTATACATAAACAATGTGGCCGAGTTGTTTTTACATAGACAAGCAGATCCATCGAAACTGAGGTAATGTGGTTTTTAAATCCCTCTCTTGAATTCTCACTCTAACTAGCTGCATAATTCACTGTGTAACTCCACACGTAGTTAACTATCCAAAAAGGTTGGTTTACTTAAATGTAAACCATATAAACTACTGTGCTTTGTTACCACTACTAGAATCAATGGGAGGGAAAAAACATTTAAAGCGTGAGGAAAATTCTTGATCCTCTCCCTCCATCAGACTGAAAGAGGAAGATAGAGAGATGTTTTGAGGAACTCATAACATTATGAGCAAGGAAAAGCTTAGATTCAGAAACATAATGCAAAAGCATCTCAACATTACTGAAGCAATGTAGGATGATCTTGTCAGTGAATGAAACAAAAGGCAACCAACATTCAAAGAGCGTTGGAATGTCCTTGACGAAGCTTGGAGATCTATTCCAAAAGACTATTTACAGAAATGACAAGACAGCTTGGATAAGACAGTTCTGGCCGAATGCAGAATGCAATGACGGCAAATCGCATAAATGCATGTTTTATTTACAACAGCACGACATGAAACACTCAGACATAAAGTTAGGCAATGGTTCACCAAAATGCAGAAAACTATCTCTATAAATTTTGGAGGATTTTTTTTTATTATTTTCCCCAATTTTAAGTTGCAAAAGACTGCATCATCTACATTACAAAATATCTTCAAAACATTGTGAGAATCTGCAGAACTCTGCATAAAGGACAAGGCCAAACATCGATATAGCATGCCTGTGAACTTTGGGCCCTCAAACTGCATCAAAAACATGCCTGAATCTGTTTGGTAATTCTTTTATGTACTCAGAAACAACTTCATCCACAAACACAGGTTAAAGGTCTACCATTGCAAATAAGCCCCATATGAACATGATCCAGAAACCATGCTGTCTTCTGTTATTACACAATAACAGATATGAAACAATGAAAAACAAATACGTTTAACAATTCTGAAATCTGGGATCACCGTGAAACTTGAAAGTTATGAAATCCCCCCCCACACACACACACAACAAAAACATCACACAAACAACAGTTAATGTTTAGTCATGAAAACCATGACTTTTACACATTTGACATCTGAGCAGGGAACCTAAACAAAGTAGAGGTACACCATGATGAAACGGTTAAAACCAATGGCAGGCGTAATGCTGTTCCTGGTGGCAACATCAAAGGCGCTTACTGGACAAAACTATCTAAAAGATAAGATGAGCTCAAAGCATCCACACTGCTAGTCTGACACTTACACATCAGCAATGACACAAAGGGGGAGGCCCATTCACATTTCCTGCAGTGAGACATTACTTTTTCAACTGTTACGAATTTTGGTCGAAGACCAGAATTCACCATGAAATACAGGACGGTGGTGATGTACGTGGAGATTGGCTGCTTCGTGTCCTGCTTATGTGGCTGGATTCTGGTCTCTTCAACTCTTCCCACAGAGTACTGGACTTTCTCAGAGGTGGGCACCGTAGTGCTGACCACCTCCAACTACTACTCCAACCTGTGGATGGACTGCATCTCAGACACCACGGGGGTGTCTGACTGCAAATACTACCCCTCCATGCTGGCCCTGCCTGGTAGGATACGCTGAGATCTTCAAAACTTTACAGTCTCTCTTTTTAATTTCTACTCAGCTGTTCCTTTAGCTCATTGCTATGTTTTTCTATGTTGAAGATACAATTTGAAGCAGAGAAATCATACAAATTTCTTTAGGTTATCTTAATAAAATGCACAACTGTTATGTTAACATAAACTGTATTTGTTTTCTTTCAGTGTTCTTGCACGCCTGCAGAGCACTGGCGGTCTGTGCTGTCATTACAGGCTTCTTCGGTGGCGTCCTCACACTCATAGGGATGAAATGTACTAAAATAGGTGGGACAGAGATTGTCAATTCAAGGGTGACATTTTCTGGTGCTATCACCTACCTGGCTTCAGGTAAACAATCCTTCAATACATATATGTTGGTTGATAAGTTTTCAAAATAGCCAAAAAGAGGTTTTAAAATACAGCCTCTTTTCTGGTAGGCGGCTGCGGCATGATCACCTACTCGTGGTGGGCTAACAGAGTCATAACTGAATTTAAGAATCCAAATTTCAGGTCACAGAAGTGAGTAATTTTCAAGTGGTATTCATATTATGATATTAACTTTAAAAATCCATGCAATGAAACACATCTGCATTCACTTCAGGTTTGAACTTGGAGCGGCAATTTTTGTTGGCTGGGGAGGATCCCTTCTTCTTATTTGTGCAGGGGCAGTGCTGGCCTATTTGTCTGGGAAAGAAATCCTACCATCATGGTGAGTAAAATAAATAAGTCCTTAAAGGTTGTAAAGTGGTAACCTTTCTCTATTCGTGGCTGCCTGTATAGCAGGCCACAACTAGCAACCAATAACAGCTTGGATTACCTCACCTTGTGTCTCCTGTTTTTCTAGCATCAGTTCCACCCAAAGGCCACAGAGACCAGTTTCCTACACCACTGCCCGTACCAGACGTACATACATGATGCCGCCCCCATCCTCCAGAGTGACATTAGTGCCCCCACTGTATAACAAAGGCATGGATGGCCGAACAACCAGAGCAACAAATAAGACAGATCAAACCTTGGGCAGAGACAGCTTCGTCTGAGCCAGAGGGAACCAAGAGTGAAGAGAACAGAAAACGTATGATTACCCATACAATATGAAGCTGTAGCATAAAGGAGAAATTGCTCTTACTGGTTGGTGTTGTAAATTACATTTGAGTCCACAAGGTGGACGAGGTGTATTTTGTATAAAAATTGGCCAACCTCCTCAAAATTCCATGTCTCCAATCCTCTTTGTACAAGTTCAGTTGCTAATATAAGTTATAAAATGTTTAACAATTGGCCTTTAATGTATTACTGGTGCATTTCCTTACTTATAATATTCTGCACCAATTTTTCTGTTTGCAAGTTTTTTAATGCTTAAAATCTCTGCAATAAAGCTGTGTCCCTGACTTGCCTGTGCCACCAGTGACTTTTATGTAAATCCTTCTGAATGGGTCCCCTCATTGGGGACTTAATGAGGGGACCAATTCATCTTCATCTTTTTCTTGATATTTCAGAATGGCTAACTGATGTGTTAAAGCATAACATGTCCAACCTGTTACTCTTATTTACCATACAAACTGATCATTTTTGTAATTTTGATCAAGTGGTTGATAAGCATTTTAAAACTTCTTTTTGAGTTCTTCATGTTCATGCCTGGTTTGTGTTGTGGAAAAATAATTTGAGCCCCTCCCTGAGCCTGGTTTTGCCGGAGGGTTGTGAGAATCTGCCGGAGGTTTCTACCTCCAGCAGAAAGGGAGTTTTTTCTTTCCACTGTTGCCAAAGTGCTTGGTCATAGGGGATGCTGGGATTTCTGTATACTATTGTAGGGTCTTTACCTTACAATATAAGGTAAGGTATATTATAAGAAAGCCCTCTGTAAAGCTAGAACATCTTACTATTCATCACTGATTGAAGAAAATAAGAACAACCCTAGGTTTCTCTTCAGCACTGTAGCCAGGCTGACAAAAAGTCAGAGTACTGTTGAGCCAACCATCCCTTTAACATTAACTAGTAATGATTTTATGAACTTCTTCACAAATAAAATTTTAATCATTAGAGAAATTATTACTTAATTAATTACTTCCTCCAAATAATCAACGTGTCTTTTAGAACCCATTTCTACAAAACTGCTCAAAGAAGTCCTGCCATTAATTAATGCTTCATTCATAAATATGATCAACCTATCTCTAATAATTGGCTATGTACCACAGGCCTTCAAGCTGGCTGTAGTTAAACCTTTACTCAAAAAGCCATCTCTAGACCCAGCTGTCTTAGCTAATTATAGGCCAATCTCCAACCTTCCTTTCATATCAGAAATCCTTGAAAGAGTAGTTGTCAAACAGCTAACAGATCATCTGCAGAGGAATGGCTTATCTGAAGAGTTTCAGTCAGGTTTCAGAGCTCATCACAGCACAGAAACAGCTTTAGTGAAGGTTACAAATGATCTTCTTATGGGCTCTGACAGTGGACTCATCTCTGTGCTTGTCCTGCTAGACCTTAGTGCATGTTCGAGCATTAGAACATGCTGTAGGTATTACAGGTACTGCACTGCAGTGGTTTGTATCATATCTATCTAATAGACTCCAATTTTTGCATGAGTCAACTATGGTGTTCCACAGGGTTCAGTGCTAGGACCACTTCTGTTTACATTATAAATGCTTCCCTTAGGCAGTATCATTAGAAGACGTAGCATACATTTTCACTGCTATGCAGATGACACCCAGCTCTATCTATCCATGAAGCCAGATGACACACACCAATTAATTAAACTGCAGGAATGTCTTAAAGACATAAAGACTTGGATGGCCGCTAACTTTCTGCTCCTTAATTCAGATAAAACTGAGGTTATTTTACTCGGCCCTGAAAATCTTAGAAATATGGTATCTAACCAGATTCCTACTCTGGATGGCATTACCTTGGCCTCCAGTAATACTGTGAGGAAGCTTGGAGTCATTTTTGACCAAGAAAATATCTTGCTCAAATTCTCTAAAATTAGAAATATCCTGTCTCAGAGTGACACTGAAAAACTAGTTCATGCATTTATTACCTCCAGGCTGGACTACTGTAATTCATTATTATCAGAAATTCCTAAACACTCCCTGAAAAGCCTTCAGCTAATCCAAAATGCTGCAGCAAGACTACTGGCAGGGACCAGAAAGAGAGAGCATATTTCTCCTGTTTTGGCTTCCCTTCATTGGCTCCCTGTTGAATTCAAAATTCTGCTCCTCACATACAAGGTCTTAAATAATCAGGCCCCATCTTATGACCTTGTAGTACCATATAACCCCATTAGAGCACTTCGCTCTCACACTGCAGGCCTACTTGTTGTTCCTAGAGTATTTAAAAGTAGAATGGGAGGCAGAGCCTTCAGTTTTCAGGCCCCTCTT